CCCCAAAACCCCAAAACCCCAAAACCCCAAAACCCCGAATGATTGGAATTTAAAAGAATTCGAAGATTGATTATTACAATTGATTAAATATATAAATCAAAATGTTTACTAGTAGCGATGATTCCGATGTACAAGATAAGAAGGAGGTGTTCAGTATGTTTGCAAAATAGCACGAGTCGACCAAAAGGAGGTTCAGTACAGCTAGAATGACCTTACAATATTCTTCTTACTCTTATGATCCTGATAGTGATAGTAGTAGCAGTAAGAGTGAACCACCTAGTAATAAAAGTCCTTCAAATGAGCATTCACATTAGTTCAGTGAATATTAATAAATCAAAGAATTATTCTCTGATAATCAAAATAATAAGCTTAAAATGTTAGGAGAAAGATTGAATGCAAAAATCTCATAATTATAGAATTTGAATTCAAATAAGAAAAGTAAAAGACTCGTCATCGGCAATAGATTTTCCCCAAAGAATGAATCAAAACTGCATTAACATCAGTTTAGAAAACAACTAAATTTAAGCCTTGATGAGATGGAATTAGCTTCAGACCATGAAGATTAGAGTCAGGGATCTGTTCTGATGATAGATACCAATACATATAGGAAGTAATTGGATAGCGATATTGAACTTTAGGACTAAAAATAAGAAGTAAGACTGACTGATAAAAAAGTGAAAAAGTTTAAAACTCAATCTGAGAGACTGAAAATGGATGTAGTCTATAAATTTCTGTTCAGAAAAATAAAAAAAGTGATTTTAAAAAGCTTTTATGATTCTTGCAAGTTAGGCTAATCCTCCTCACGCAAGCAAAAATAAAATATAAGAAAAGATAAAACAACAAAGTTAAAAGAATAAATGATCAAATTTTTGGAACAGTCATGGATCTAAGAGCCAACAAAAGATGTTTTGTGCTGTTTGGGTTTAATGCTATATCCAAACTTTAACACGAAAAACTTTAAGTTCTTGTCAGAAGCAGGCCTCTACCCTGGAATGGAGTTGAAGGAAGAAGTTTGCATCGCATTCAGCAAGATATATAGAGAAAATAACAAAAAAATAAGAGACACTCTTTTTAACCACAAATTCTTCAGGGAATTTGTTTGGCCTCTATTTATCAAGGAAGTTCCATCCTTTGATGATGTAATTAATGCTGGTGAATATAAGAAGTATAAGAATTCAGTAGACCATATGTTTTATTAATTGGACAAGGTATATGATCTAGTCTTTCCATTCAAACCAAATTTCTTTAAGGAGGTGATGGTGGAGTAGAAGTAAGATAACCCTGAGGAGGGATAAATTGGAATGGAAAATTGATCATTATTTAAGAATTTAAAATTCCCAATGTATACACATTTAAATTCCAGATATAACTAATTATGACTACTTAATAATCCCTAATTTAAACTATTAAAACTTCAATTATTGTTGTTATTGATATCTAATGGGGTTTTGGGGTTTTGGGG